AACCCCCCCCCCCCCCCATCGATACAACCTATTTCAATTAGGAGACGGACTTCCGACTAGAGGTGGGCGAAGACTCGATTCCGGAACCGATCTCCACGATTAATGCTCCTTTTTACGTGATCCAACTGTTACCAGTCCATTCAATCATAAAAATCATCTTTAAAAAAAAAAAAGAAATTGAAAGTTGATACTTCGCAGTGTTCCAAAATCAAGGTAATCCTAAATCCTGAAGACGTTCGCGGAGCCAACCAGATAACCACCGGAAGAAATCACTTTATTAGAAAGTAAGTAATTGGGTTCGGAGTCCATTCCTACGATTCCTAGCTTTCAATAATCGGGAACCTAGCCGCCCAGCACTACTTCCAACCCTGCCTGTCGGGGCCGACCAGGGTGGAGTGAGATACACCATCCAAGGAAAAAGACCGAGATATTCAATCATAAAAATAATTTCTCCCCACTAGTGAATCCAACTCAGGTTTTCCTGTGTGCGACACGAGGACACCGGATTTATTTTGGTAGCCTCGGTGCGACAGCAAAGCGCCTAAGCTACACCATAGACGTCAGCGCCCACATTTACGTTACCTTTAGTTTTAGTACACGTTTTACGGCACTTGCAACACAATTAGGTCATAATATAATAAGTGAACAAGATTAGAGATGTTACCAGACGGTAACGTACAAAGGACAACACAAAAAGGGAGGAGGAGACTAGAGATAAAGACGGTAGATGCTTGAAGGAGAAAAACCACACCAGAACACCCGCCAACTACCCATACAGTAGAATTAGAAGAAGCATAGAGAAAATAAACGTAATTTCATACAATATTGGTTTTGTTTAGTTTGAGTAAAGAGAAATACATCGACACAATAATGATCATATTATGTGAGGCAGCGTGGTGGAATCAGGCTCTAGTCAAAATAATCCAAATGAAGAAACTTGCTGTTTTCTGCAGATTTGTGAATTTTTATGGAATTTTTTTTTTGGCTCCACACCTTTCATACCCATTAAAGAACTCATTTCTGTGTGAATTTTTCTGAAAAACGTTGATTAAAGGCACAAAAAAGTAAATTTTCAGTTACCACGGACTCTTAAGCTAAGGAAATAATTAATCTATGGCGGCCATTTTCTCTCTAATTTTACCTCTGACAACAGGTGACCCCTACCTCCTTCATTTGCAAATATCTCGACTTGTATTCAAGATAAGTGGATATATTTTTCATCCAAATAAAGACAAGTGAAAAAGCTTTAAGATGATACTAATTACTCTACATGCCCAAAAAATTGACGAGAGCCTGATTCCACCACGCTGCCTCACATTTGGTGCTGGGAAAAAGTAAGACAGACGGAAACAACAGTGGCGAAGTGGAGCAGTAGGACCTACCAGGGGCACCCTCCAATCACCCTCAATTTCATAAATAGAAAAAAGCGATGAAGGGATGCAAGACGAAACACGACGCACAGACACAACACACAGGGCTGCTGAAGTAAATACAAGCACCTTCACACTCACACACACACAGACACACACACTATAAACCTGCTTATCTCACACGCGCGCGCACACACACACACACACGCCCTGACACACACACACACACACACACATACACACACACACGCACACACACACACAAACGCACGCATGAACGAGCACATTTGGTCTCTATGCTTTGCATGTTCATTGCCCAAATCCCTCCCCCCTCCCCTCCCTCGTTTTTCTACACACACACACACACACACATA